TAGTACCTTCCTATTTCCCACAATGCCGCGCGTTGTTTACAAACAAGCGCGAAAAATCCTCTAAACTAGGTACTAATTATTGTTGTGTACATCATCACATTTTGAAATTATTTGAATAAAAAGAAAACAAAGAAACACCGAATTAAATCTATATCTTTTAGATGCATCAACTAAAAATGTGCACATGTATGCAGAAAAGGCTTGGCTGGCTATAGTATTAGTATAGACAACTTGTTCCTGAAAGGTTTCTCACATACATGTACTTGTTTTATATAAAAAACAATGAAATATAGCTGGAAGTTTATTTCTTTTTATATCAATTGACAAGATTTTATATGTTCGAAATTATTTCAGTCAAACTTTTTCATAATATACCAATATTTTTAGCTATCAGAAAAAACGTGTATGAGCTATTAACCCCTAATTATAGGGGCCAGCCCCTTTTTCATTAATCTAATATGAAAGCTCTCGTAATTACACACAACTTTTGTTTTATATTTCTTACCAAATTATTCTCGGTTCAAAAGTTATTACACAAAAAGTAGCAAAAATTCAAGAAAAAAAATTACTAAAATTTGCCGTTTTATAGCTTCCAAACTTTAGAAAATCAGCTTATAATTTTATCGTTGTGCACGTCTACAATGTATTGGCTACAAGTTCTCAAACTTTCGTGTAAATATCTTACGTCGTTCTTGAGATTTTTAGTGGAAACGAGACATCAAAATTATTAATTAAAGGGCAATAACTCACAATTAAAGGCATGTATCAAAAAATTGAAAACAGGTATAAATAGGTTTAATTACAAGGTATCTAACCTGAAAGTTTCATAAAAATCAGTCCAAAGGTTTTTGAGAAATCGCCTGTCAAAAATCGAGCGGGAAAAAAAAAATAAAATAATAATAAGAAACAGTAGAATAACAGTAGGGTCTTCCGAAGGAAGCGGAAGACCCTAATAATCTTAATCTTCAGAATCAGTAGAAGGTCTTCCGTTGGAAACGGAAGACCTTAATGAACTATATCGGGGATTGCATTGAAATGATTCATAGACTGATTTTTTTTTAAATCAAGCTAATTCATGCATATTTAAGTCCTCAATAAAAAAAGGGGGTGTGTATGAAGACTTCAACATGTTCAAGTAGAAAGACTAAAATCGTTTACTTTAAATTTGGTTGGCAGTGTTTGTTTTTTAACTCACAATTTGAAATAAAACAAGGTAAAATTAATGAATATGTACCAAGAAAATGATACCTCAAAATAAATCATGTTCCAAAGTTGTTTATCACTTAAAAAAATTTTTAAAAAACAAAACAAAACATGTAAATAATAGAAATACCAGCTTTCAACTTGTACAGTCTATAGAGTTACCAGGTATGCAACATTCTTTGTGCCGCGGGCCTATTTTGGGCCTATTTTCAAATACTACGTTACGTGCCGCGGGCCTATTTTGGGCCTACCGTTAGCTTATTTACGTCACAAGTAAAACTGATTATGAAGTTACGTCATAATTCTGAGTTTCGCGCCATTTTAGCCTTTTGTTATGTAGGAAACTATCATTTTACGTTCTACTGAAAAATTTATTTGGAAGGAATGTTAAACGGGTATAATGTTATTAGTCATTTCAAAATTAAAACAGTACATTCTGATTTGAAATTAAACAACTGTCTACATGTATGTTTCTATGTATGGAATTTCTGATAGAAGGATAATTTCAAACAGGTTTTCTATTTCTCTTTATCGCCGTATATCACTTTATAGAAAATGCAAACAATTTAAAGTAATACTACAGATGTATTTTTATTAATATTCAAAAATTTTATCAACATTTTAGATATATGAATGATAAACAAAATTCATGTGCCCCTCCTCCTTTCCACACATACATCAAAGTGTTCTTTCAATACTAATATATGAAAACGAAAATAAAATTCCATTTTAGAATTACAATTCTTTTCTTTTTTGATCATGTATTGATTGCGGTTAAAATGATATAGCGTAATATTAGTGATTATTTCAGTAAAATGAATAATTTTTATTCAATGTCATCACTATATATCTAAACAAGCCAGAGATATCCTAGAAATGTGGAATTAGAAAAATAAATTCAACACGTGTGACTTAATATCTATCGTATATGTCTCCGTAAACATCAGTTAAAGAAATTACATGTACATGTATGTACATTATACCGCATGTACAGCAGATATACTTGCTGTACGAAAACATCGACAATTTGTTTACAAATATATGCTAATTATTTAAATATATAATTTTTACCCCAAAGTATACACAAAAACAAAAATTACCGAATAAAACGACTATAAATTTTAAAACATTTAAGACTTATAGGCATACATTACACGTTTTTTCTCTGTCATAAGTAACAGCTCAGCTAGCTGTAAGAGTATACTGTAAGACACACAGACAAATGTCTGCGAATTGTGCTATTAGTACTATTAAGTATAAAGTCACTGTGTATTCCAACAAATTGCAATCGGCAGAGTTTAGTCCTCAGCCACACATAAGTGATCCATTACACAGTCTTTATGTAGACCTCTGTGGCAGTCCGTACAGATCGTCCTCGTTCTCCTGCGACCTCCAAAACCGTTACGGTCTGAACATACGGAGCATTCTTTTTGCTTGCCACTTGGAAGTTTCCTTAGTTTAACTTTGACAAATCCTCGCCCAGCAGCTGTGTTTGCAGCGGCATCCTCTTTATCTGACAGATGGTCCTTCGATAAATCGTAGATAATGCTTTTTATCTCATACGTGTTGGTGATACAGGCCGTTGGATAAACTTATGCTTTATCAACGGGTAGATGCTTTATCAATAGCACTTCCGGTTTTGACACGAACCCTCGCTTCAAGATTTTATTTTATTGAAACTTTTATTTGTGAAAATTGTTGCCCTTATAAAATGAATGATAAAGGGTAGCAATATCGTTAAAAGCAAGATGTCAAAGAAGTGTCTTATTTTATCAAGGAACCCGTTTGCTATTTGAAGACAGATGTTACCCGCCCCCCCCCCCCCCCTCTTAGATCGTTTTCGGAGAAAGTAAAGCCTACATGTACCAGTTAAGTTGTTGTTATAAGACTCCTTTGACATCTTTAACAATGCTTTCTTATATTATACTACGTATGCCTACCTAGTAATGTAGGTGTAACTTACCATGGATCAGCAAACAATCTAGACAAAGTCTAGGCCCCTAGCCTTGCCTAGCACGATTTGTACTGCCATCGTAAAAAGAGTTGATTTTCACGATCCCCATAGTCCTAACAACTTTCAGTCAGAAGTTCGTTTGATGTAAAGCTTCAGCAATTTTCACATGATGTTTTCAAAGACACAGATAGCAAATATTCTAAATTTTGAACTCGATCTACTTTCTCTCGACGCATGTAAACATCAACGGTGCTACGTCATCAAGTTATACGTCATCAATTTGATTTTGGCAGTCATTCATGTAGTTTCGCAGGGGAAGTCTCAAAGTTTTGTTAAAACGAAAGTCGTATGAGATAAATAGAACATCTATAATTGTGTGATTTGATATTGGCTTTATCCAACTCGTTGAAATGGTGTATATTCGCTCGGCAAGCCTCGCGAATATATACACCATTTCAACTCGTTGGATAAAGCCATAGAGGATATCTATATTGTGTGATTTGATATTGGCTTTATCCAACGAGTTGAAATGGTGTATATATTCGCGAGGCTTGCCGAGCGAATATACACCATTTCAACGAGTTGGATAAAGCCAATATCAAATCACACAATTATAGATGTTCTATTTATCTCATACGACTTTCGTTTTAACAAAACTTTGAGACTTCCCCTGCGAAACTACATGAATGACTGCCAAAATCAAATTGATGACGTATAACTTGATGACGTAGCACCGTTGATGTTTACATGCGTCGAGAGAAAGTAGATCGAGTTCAAAATTTAGAATATTTGCTATCTGTGTCTTTGAAAACATCATGTGAAAATTGCTGAAGCTTTACATCAAACGAACTTCTGACTGAAAGTTGTTAGGACTATGGGGATCGTGAAAATCAACTCTTTTTACGATGGCAGTACAAATCGTGCTAGGCAAGGCTAGGGGCCTAGACTTTGTCTAGATTGTTTGCTGATCCATGGTAAGTTACACCTACATTACTAGGTAGGCATACGTAGTATAATATAAGAAAGCATTGTTAAAGATGTCAAAGGAGTCTTATAACAACAACTTAACTGGTACATGTAGGCTTTACTTTCTCCGAAAACGATCTAAGAGGGGGGGGGGGGGAGGGTAACATCTGTATTCAAATAGCAAACGGGTTCCTTGATAAAATAAGACACTTCTTTGACATCTTGCTTTTAACAATATTGCTACCCTTTATCATTCATTTTATAAGGGCAACAATTTTCACAAATAAAAAGTTTCAATAAAATAAAATCTTGAAGCGAGGGTTCGTGTCAAAACCGGAAGTGCTATTGATAAAGCATCTACCCGTTGATAAAGCATAAGTTTATCCAACGGCCTGTATCACCAACACGTATGAGATAAAATATCAAATCACACAATATAGATATCCTCTATGAATGAAAGAAAGCCTGCTTTTCACCGGAACATCTGACGTATTCTTTTTACAGAGTATGTACGAGTTAATTACCATCCTGTGTATCAAGTTAAAAACTATCTTACGCCAAACTTTCATGGACTTTCTGTTACTGCTGTATGATGTCACCATCAAATCTGCCAGGTCCACTCCACCCATATTTTTGTTGTAAAATTCAAGTACTTTTGGCTTACCGCGTATGTTGGTTACTGCCTTTTCTTTTGTTGTTAATATACGGACCGGTTTTCTGTGTTCTTTTTCTTTATAACTACAAAGACATAATTCACCTTGTCGCATATAGATAGAATCGTTTTGTCCTAACTGGGGATTTTTAATTTTGTTGGGCATGTAGCGATTTTGTTTTAGTGTTCCAGTAATGTATGTATGGTCACGGAGAAGTTGCTTGGCCAAATCAATGGACGTGAAAAAACTGTCACAAACCACATGATACCATTTGTTTAGCAATCTGGACGACTCAAGTAACATATTTATTACGTATGAACCTTGCGTTGTACCTCTAGGGGTGGGGTCGAATCGCTTAACCCTGTATACTCTCATATTGTATATGTACCCTGATGCTGCTTCTACAAGCATCCATAGTTTTACCCCGAATTTGGCGCTTTTTGATGGGATGTATTGCAACATTGTACATCTTCCTCTTGTAGCAATTAAACTTTCATCAATGCTGATATTTTGTTCTGGGACTAAATGGTGTGATGACTGAGTATTAAAATGGTCAACAAGCACCTGAAACTTTGCCGCGGGACAGTAGTTGGGATCATTTCTATTTGGAATGTCATCGTTATTCACCAAGTGAAAAAACTGGAGGATTTGTTGAAATCTATTTCTACTAAATACACTTCGAAACCAGCTTGTTTCCTGACTTTTATATGTTGTGTGCCAGTATTCACCAATGTTTGCCTTTCTGATTAGCCCCATATTCAGAATAACAGCGATAAACGCTTTCATTTCGTTGAATGTAACTTCTCCAATTTTACGCCAATCGAGCAGCCTAGAAAATCTCCGGATGTGATCCTTGCTTGCAATGAACTGCGCGGCATATCTACAAGAAAGGACTAATTGTTTGTATTTGAGAAAAAAAAAGATGTGTTTGTGAAACACTGATGACCCCGTATTGTAAAAAATCTAAGGTCAAGGACAAAAGGTAAAAAAAAATATTTAAAGTAAATGAAAGTTCGTGTCACAATGAAGATTCATGTAAAGTATGAAAGTCTTTGCACCAACTGTTCAAAAGTTATGACCAATGTTAATGTTCAATTTTTTTTCTTCAAAGAGGATCAAATACTCAAACTCCAAGGCCAAAAGGTAAAACCGAAAGACAGGTCGTATCACAAGGAATATTCTGTGAAATATGAAAGTCATAGCTTCATCCATTCCAAAGTTTTTGCGAACAAACAGACAGACATACGAAAGGACAGAAGAACAAAAACTATATACCCTTGACTCTTTGATTACTGGGCATAAAAATAGTCTTTTATTTGGTTTTTTTCTGATTATACGTGTTTGAGTTGATTAAAAATGTTTTATAAATAGAATGAAAAATACTTGCATAGCACTTTTATATAATTTAATTGTGAACACGTTTACTGAGAGAGAGAGAGAGAGAGAGAGAGAGAGAGAGAGAGAGAGAGATTATGTAATCTAACAACCATTAGAGTAAATGAATTCCAATTTTGGTAGGCATTGTGATATATTCAAGGCAATATCAGAGGGCTTGGGAGGGGGCCTCTTTTTCCTATAATTTTTTACTAATGATTATGTTAAACACTGATTCCTTTCTTTCTTTTTGGAAATTACCAAAAAGTTGTAACCCCCCCCCCCCCCCGCCCGCGTCGAAATAGGATTTTCATGACTATTGATCTTTATATCTTGAATAGATGGTAGAATTTTAAGCCGTATAGGGAGACTACTTCGCCTCAATAATTCAAATATTCGTACGAAATATAATTAAATACTGGTTCAGGCGAATTAAAATTTGATTCAAGTTTGATTCGGACGAAATAAATATTGACAAATTGTAAATTCATTCTTTAATTCCTTCTTAAAGGTTTTAGTGAGTGGGCTTTTGAGTCTTTGACCAATCAAAATCCCGAACTGGTACTGTCAATGTATAAAATTTAATAAAAATGCAGCAATTAAAATCCGAATATATTCTGTTCGACAACCTTTTAAATAATTAGAGGGGATATGATGCATATGTTTATACACTGCAAAGTTTTGTACAAGCTTAAAATATTTTATCCATGCATTAATTACAACAAAATTACATTCTGCCCGTATTCGCAGAGCCCCTGTGACACATATTTAAAAACTTCTTTCATTCAATCTTTTCCAGATTTCAGTGCATATTTTTCTTTTTATGGAGAGTAATATGAAGAACATAGAAACACTTACATTTCTGATAAAAATTATAATATTGACTATTAAAAATTGTTAATTCGTTGAAAACCAGTTCTAGTATTTTTGAAATGTAGATGCCAAATGAAATCATGCAGGGTGGTGAATTCGTAAATAAAATGTATAAGAGATCAAAAGGAACGGAAATACAAAAACTGCATATACAGACAAATATGAAATGTTATTGTCATTCATATTTTTAAATTGAATTATTCTTCAAATACAATATTTTTTGTGGGCATTGACTGCATTGATGTGGAGCATCTCGGGGCCAATCCAGTATTAATCAAGGCGTCCTGTCACCTATTACTACATTAAGTATTTAAAAGTATTTTTTTAAAGTTATCTTTTTAATAATTCCATATTGGAACTTTTTATTTGCTCCAATACAAAAAAATGTATTATTCTGCAAATCCGAGGAGAGGTGATCGGGTCCCCCTCCCCCTTTAATCTCGTCTGACTTTCTTAAGCGGGGGAAACACATTATTCAAAGTAAGATTTTTTTCCCTCTAATTCACCCGAACAAATATACAAATATCGGAATTTATTCGAGCGAGTATCTTAATTGTCCGAACGAATTTTCCATCTGTCGGAATATGATATATTGAATTTGTCCAAATGAATAAAGGGGATCAAATACTCTACATTTTATTGACTATATATGAATGCATTATATAAAGCGTGTTATCAACTTACTTGATAACATTTAACATATAATTATATAAATAATTATGTGTATATATATTCATGTATATATAGAAAAAAAGGAATATACCTGTTTGTCTCTAAAACCATCCTATTTATCAGGTCAACAGTCACCATCAGAAAAAAGTAAGATATGGGTTTGCTGTCTGATGGTGGCATATTTTTTGGACCAACATTTTCTGTGAAGTTGGAGGGCTCTTGGTCCTCTGGCTCCGGGGGCAGGGCACGTACCCAGGGCTGCTGATTCATAAACACCATTTCTTCTTCGTCATCACTTTCGATTTCCGTTTCTAATTCTGAATCAGAGCCGTCTGAAAAATCGTCCGAGTCGCTCATTTTGTGACCCACATGCAGACACCTGGTTGCAGGACGCTGGTCGTAATGACGTCATAATCAAATATGACATTTAATTAAATCACGTTATTTTTCCCTTTTTATTTTTATTAACTTATGTTCATGTACTTTGAATCGGCTTTACACATCTTATAACCATTATTATTATTATTTTATATCATAAAAAAACTTGAACACTTTAATTTTCAATTTATTTCTTCTGGCATGTTCAAGGTTTCTTTTTTGGAAAAGTCAACCAAAAATAAGAACCCACCCCCATCACACACATACACAGTTTATTTTTTTTAAATCGGAACAGAAGAACAATTAAGGTATTTTTAGGGGGGGGGGGTGAGGTTTTTGTAAGACCCCCCCCCCCCCCTTAAACCTTTAAAACATTTCTACTAGCCGGGTTAGTTGCAGAACTAACTGCAGTCTCCAAAAAATACCCTGGTTTATCTTGACAAACCGGTCTATTAATATATATTTTTTCGGAAAGCTACAGTACAGTTTTTAGCTAGCCTACGGGCCGGGTACATCTGATATACATGTACATGTATTATGTAAGGTCTACGTTATTTAAAAACTATATATTAAGGTGTACAAACAGAAATGAACCTTTTTCAAGTACAATAAATTTTTCAACGATAAATCACGAAAACTTTTGAATAGTTATTGTGCATAACTGTGTTTCAATAAAACTGCATTTATATATTTAATTTTACTCGTATTGCGTTCATTATTATGCAGTACATGAATATAAGTTGACCCAAGAGTTCTTGACGTAACAAAAAATTATTTTCTTATTAAAAATAATTATAATACCTACCAACCTAATCAACTGAAAATATATCTTAAAATAACGAGATATCATCGTATTGATAAATTTTTATTGAAATGATCTTGTTAAATGACTTTAAAATTTTATAAACAACTGACTTCAAAACTCAACATTGAAGATTGAGCAACGATGAAGAATAATGATTCATAATCAATTATTTTGCTCGTTGAATTTCAATTTCTAGCGTTGCGAGTAATTTTACTTTTCAACAACGTATAACTGACTTTTGCACCGCACAGCGATTCAACACAAAATTATCTCACTCTACCTTAACCATTTGTTGTTTTGATTAAAAAAAAAAAAAATAAAAATCGTCATCTGGACTAATCTTGCTTGCCCTTTGGCGAATTTCGGCAAATTTTATTTTCAAAAATGAATTTTTTACCAAAAAAAAAAAACCCACACCGTCCTTTTTTCCAGGGTTATATTTTCCAGTAAGATTATATTAGTTTACGGTCAGAAAACGAGAAATTGTGAATTTGACAACACATCAATAAATGACTTTGATTATTAATATAATGATCACATTTAAAAATGGTTCCCCCACCCAAAAAAAAATAAGTCGTTATTTGATTGTTGGTTAAACCAATGTTTATTAAAACATTTTTATAAGATTTATTAAAAACATAAGCCGTATATCGAAGTTAAAAAGTTGAAAGAAAAGAATTATTTGTTATACCTTTATATTTGTAAGAATTTTTTCCAGTACAAATATATATGAAAAAAATCTAACATATCTAATGTTTTACTGAGTGTGAATAAAAAAAAACGATGTTTGACTGAAGTAGATGTTGGACCTGTCGATGAAATGTTAGACCGCTTACGTCACATAATAGGCGGATCTTAAGTCGCATTCGTTGGTGATAAAATATGACGGAATGAAGTTTACATCACGGAAGGCAGTAAAGAAAAGCATGTTAATAAATAATAAAAGGTATAAAAAAAATTTATTGACAGTATTCTCGGACAAAATGCGTTCCGTATGCAGTAGTTTATCGCTGCGATTCAGCGCTGAAGTTCTAAAGACGGTCGTAATAACCAACAGGACGTAGCAACAGGGGGGGGGTTTCAACATTACCTTTACTATAAAAATGTTCATTAAAAAGGATGGTTCCCCCCCCCCCCCCCCCTTTGTAACATAGATAGTGATATCAAAAGTGTAGGAAAAAAAAGGGAAATGAAAGAATTTTGCTTTGAAAAAGTTGACCACTACCCCCACCCCCACGGAATAGGATTTTCAGTTTGGGAACTTTTAATTTTCCGTTTTGTTTGTTTGTTTTTTTTTTTTTCTTGTCAAATTTTTCAGGTAAATAAAATATATTTTTTTTTCTGCCCCCCCCCCCCTTTCAAAAATGATGCTACGTGCCTGACCAAATTTGTAAACGACTAAAATGATTATAATTGCCGTTGTTATAGAAAATGATTTAGTGTGTATGTAGCGAAGACCTATGCTCACTGGTCTGGGGAAAAAAAAGGAATGGACCACCGTCACCATAAAACTACATTCAATTCTGCAGTTAGTGTGCATGTCGGTGTGGCTCGCCGGCTTTTGGCCTTTTTGTCTTTCTTATTTTATTTTTAAAAACAATATTCCAACAGCGAATTCGAAGTAAATTCATGTTATCATAATTATGTCAGGTTTTCTGAAAAAAAATGTAAAGTTTTGTTCTAATACATGCAGATATGTTACTATTTTCTACGTGATATGCGTATTGAACAGACCGAATTTCAAACGATGATTTACACGTGTTACATATACGTGTTTTTGACTTCCGGTTACGTGGCATGGTGAGTTCACAGTAAACAGTGTGGTATATATGTAAGATTTAGAAGATTTACGGGAGTGAGAAAGAGTAAAATTTTAGCTAGCTCAATGTAAGACTAATGGTGCGAAAAAGAAAAAGAAAAAATAGTAATCCAACCAAAAACGTAAGGCATAAACTGTACCTAAGTCCAGGGGGCGAGCAGCTTTTACCGAACATGGCGGATATGAGTGTGGAAGAAGAAGTAGTTAACTCGGGAGGAGACGCAAAGAACGCAGAGAACGTAGAGAGCACAGAGGAGGAAATACACCTTAGGTTGGATATTGAAACGAACAATGGTGAGTGTATGTGTGATGATTCATTGATTCAGCTGGGTAATAATTTAGATCCACCACCCGCCCACTCGAACACGCGTCCTTATGATATACAGGGGCGACCTACTTGGGTTAGTGAAATATTCTCAAAGCTATCAATTATCGATAAAAAACTCTCAAAGATAAATGAAATAAACGTAAAACTTGAAAGAGTTATGCAGAAAGTTCACACAGTTGAAGCTGAGATGGATAATCTAAAGAAAACATCGGGGAATATGGGAAACGCAATAGGTTCATTGAGAAAAACGTCAGACGAGGTCAAAGGTCAAATATCTGAACTAGCGAAGGCACAGAAAACAATGGAAGATACGATAACTGACCTACAGTGTAGAAGCATGCGAGACAATTTATTGTTCTTCGGGTTGGCCGAATATAGAGGTGACAGACGGGAGAAATGTGCTGCTTTAATAAGCGATTTTTGTGAGACACAACTAGATCTACCTCACATTGGAGAAAACATCGAGAGGGCGCACAGAATAGGAAAGGTGGACCAGGAGAGAGAGAAGCCACGGCCTATTGTGGTTAATTTGTTTAAACAAATCATTAATTTGTTATAACAGATTATTAATTTGTTAAAACAAATTACTATTTTGACAAAATTTGAAATGTATACAATCTACGAAAGCCAGATCAAATCAAACAAATTATTAATATTTGTTTATGAACATAATTTGCAAAAAAAGTTTTTGGCCCTAATACGGCTTTAGTGGGACTATTGAGAGCTTTTCCAGCAGTTCTGTTTTTCTTAACGAAAAATTTCGCGCCATATGAATGACGGGCAATTTTAGTATCAAATTTACAAAGAGATACCCACTTTTAACATTTTAACAGTTCCGGGGAAGGTTGGACCGACATGTATTTTTTTTCTTGATAATCAGTTCATTTTGGTCAATGGTGTCTCTGTTGCTCACAGCTTTATAGGAAACCATGGAGGTTCACCGGGAGCAGATCAGGTTAACAATAGATATTTGGGTTTGGTTTAAAGATTTTATTATATGTAACACGCCTGTGGGTTTATGCGAATGCTGACATGAAACTTTCAAAGTAGATCATGTCACATGTAAAGAAAAATACCGAGAGGGGGGAGGGTTTAAAATGAACAAAAACAAAACACAAACTAGAGGATGATGATGAGCTCACTATTTCCCGCCCGCCTCCCATATGCTTATAATGACAATTTTGTTTTGCTGTGGGCCTTGGAAACGCAAAATATGTGTCGGATCAAAATGTTAATCTTGCACAATGGCAATATGTTATGTAATAAAGATTACCTGGGGTTTCCATTAAATTTCACTTCGTGAGTCGGATAAGAGATTCTGTTGCATGGCTCAAATAAGATTTTTTTTCCTAGCATACGAAAGCGGGGTGATATGATTTGCAGAGTCGGAAGGGGGGCACGTATGCTAGGAAAAATATTACGCTTTGAGTATCCAGAATCTCTTATCCGCAACTCCTCTTATACCACTGAATGAAATTTGATGAAACTTTCACAGAATCTTTATTACAAAAGCGGGAGGATAACATATTGCCATTGTGCACCTCCTATTTAACATTTTGATCCGACACATATTTTGGGTTTCCAGGCCACAGCAAAACATGGACTTTGTCATTATAAGCATATGGGAGGCGGGGGATATCATTCAGTGAGCTCATTACTCACAGTACCTCTAGTTTGTGTTTTGTTTTTGTTCATTTTAAACCCTCCCCCCTCTCTCTCTCTGGATTCTTTCTTTACATGTGACATGATCTCTTTGAATACTTCTTTTCGACAGGCATTTATGTCTACTGTTCAACCCAATTCATGTGTAAATAATTAAATTTTAAACCAAACCCAATTCTATCTATGCAAAATCCTGGATCTGCTCCGTGGTGAACCTCCATGGTTTCCTATAAAGCTGTGAGCAACAGAGACACCATTGACCAAAATGAATTTGCGGATAAATTATCAATAAAAAATACATTCCGTAACAACTTTCCCCGGAAAACGAACGAAAAGATAAAGCCCAAAATATTCTTGAGTGGGTA